CTGAAAATAGGCTGACCTGTCTATTCATAGGTGTATGAATAAAGAATTCAGAGAGTAAATGAGAGGATGTCAAATGCATACACATCTCCTCTGTCACTCTTTTCTGACATCCATTTCCTTACTCCTTTCCTTTTCCTACCACTGAAGCTTTTGGTGCAGTGTATTAGCAAACTTGTCATTATTATCTTGGCTAGTAATTATTCATGACATTTGTCCTAAGCTACTCCATTGCCCTGATTTCAAACACAGGATAATAAAAAATGGACTAAGAAAAAGATAGCCACAGAGGTGAGTTCCATTCAAATCAAGAAGCTAGAGTTGGGTTAATATCAAAATAAAATTCTATTTATAAATTTTCTATGAGAATAAAATGCTGAAAGGAAAGAAGCAAGTGTCTATTATGAGTGAAAAAATGGTGTTTCTTAAGAATACTTCAGAGATTTCATATTTGATTAAATTATTTTTAATCATTTCATTTTTCATTAGTAAAAAGATTAAAAATGAATTAGGTAAAAAACATTACCATAAAAATGAGAACTAGTTTCCTGAGATAAAGTTAGAAGATGAAAGGTCCAAAAGTTGAAAAATGTGACATATTTTAGTTATTAAATAGAAATAATGTGCTGAAAGCAATTAATTAGCAAATGTAATGATACTGCAGTAGGTTATGGCAAAATGAATGAGACAAAAATCTAATTTCCTAACTGGTCAGTGAGCAATGGTTATTGATCAAGCATCTATGTGCAGTTGATTTTATTAAGTGCTAAGTAAAATAGAAAACCTTAAAAAGTAATGATTAAAGAGATTAAGTCTATTAAACCTTTCATGTTAGTGCATAAGCATAATTAGGAAACTGGACTTAATACGAGAAGGAGAAAGAGACTCTCGGACCGTATCTTGCGGCCTTTGTGGCTTGTCATGTAGATGATGTCTGCCTGTTGCTCTTGGTGGTAAGGACCAGACCCAGGGCCTCGTTTGGGTTCAGCAGACACTCTGCTTCTGAGCTGCGACTGAAGACCCAAGATTGTATTCTTATATATTAAAGTATGATCTTTAGCACCACAAAAACGAGAAATCAAGTCTTGTCTCAGATAGCTTTCTGTGTCTGGGGATCCTCTCACATCTCCATCCTTTGGTTTGTTTTTCTGAAGTTTAGGATACTAATTCCAGACAACTGATAAGACAATGTTAACAAAGTGTGTAAAAGAGTACATAGTGAAAGCAGGGCTCTAGACGTGATGGCCTTGTTGAGGTTCAGTATAGAATCTGACTTTATGTAAAATTTAGACTCGCAATAATATTTATGAATTCAACTTTTGTCTCATGGAAGATATGAAAATCAATACAAAATAAATAGTGCCCCATTTTATTTTTTATATTCACATGCATCATGTCAGGTGGGATCTTATAATCATATTCTCTGTTTTGTATTCCTTTTTTAGAAAACAAAATTAATAAGATTATTTCCTTGAGATTTTAATCTACTACTCCATCTCAGATTCACTTTTAAAGTTTTATTTATCTGTCTATCTATCTATTTATCTATCTATCTATCTATCTATCTATCTATCTATCTATCTATCTATCTATCTATCTATCTCTATGTATTCACTTTGTATCCGTGCTACAGACCCCTCCCTCATCTCCTCCCAGTCCCACCCACCCTCCTTCTTCTCCCCCTATGCTGTTTCCCTAATCTACTGATAAGGGAGGTCCTCCTCTCTTTCTATCTGACTCTCGCTATCAGGTCTCATCAAGGCTGGCTGCATTGTCTTCCTCTGTGGCCTGGTAAAGCTGTATCGCCAGAGGGAGGTGATCATCAGAGACAGACCCTGTACCCCTTACTAGGGTACCCACTTGGAAACTAGATGTACTTTTCCTAATGATATGTGTAGTATAGCTATTCAGTTTTTTTTAATATGTCAAGATAGGTGCTAAATATTCTGGAATACTTTAAAAGGTGTATAATCAGCTAGTTTTTACAGTGGCTCCATAAATACTCATATTAGTTCAAACATCATGTGCTTTATAACAAAACAAAGCAGATCACTAAAAAACCAGAACTATCAATACTAAGCATTGTTCCCGATGTTGAGGCAACCTAAACGGTAGTATTACAGTTTTGATTGGGCAGTTAAGTGGCATCTAATGAAAACACTTAGGTATTTGAAAATATAAACTCATTCAATCCCTTAGTCAGTTAAATTAAAATGTTTTCATTTTCAGCAGTTTAATGATGTTTTCAATAAATACCTGCTCATATTTTCTGTCATCCTGGTATTTCTTTACCTACTAGATGTGAAATGACCATGGAATAGTTTGTCTTGTGCTGAATTAGACAATGGCTTCTTTCATTTAAAAATTACAGAGAAGAAATAGCTCTCAAACTTCTCTTCAGCATCCTTCAGCGCTATTGAACCTATAGTTTAACCGTATGCCAATTTGAAGCTTGCATTTTTCTCTAGTATTATGCTGTGTTTTTTTTTTTTTTTCCTGTGGCATACTATGATGAGACAACTCCTATTTTCAGTCTGAAAGTTATTTTCCAATCAAGGATCTAAGGACCCAAACTCCAAGGGTAAAAGTTAGCTGAGATCGTGCCCCAAAATGTTAGGCATTCACTCGTTTGTCCCCCCTCCCTGCCCCAGGGAACTTTCATGGTCCTCCATGTTAGTTGTCATGACCACATGTTTCTGTAACATTGTGAACTGCTCCTATCGCTAATGGGTAAAAGTCTTTCCATTTGACTCCATTTACACTGCTCCAGAAATCATGTGTAGGAGCCATCATTTTACACTGTCTGTGGCCAATACAACACCTACAACTTAAATGGCATTGTTTTAGTGACTCAGCCCCTGTAAGGCATAGAAAGCATCCAAACATTTATAACAGTTCTTCTGTCCCAAGAGGCACTGGAAAGGATGCTGATTCAAGGGCATGGGAGCTTCAGAGTAACACTGAACATGAGCTAGTATTAAGGTGTATTATGGTCTAGCAGTAGGAGACCACCAAGGAGAAAGGAGACAAGTGCCTGATTTTCTTTCCCTCTGCACTCTGTCCTCTAATCTGCTATTCTTGCTTCCACTATCTGATTGCAACCAGAAATCAGAAGGTACGCGAGCTTACGGCAGTGAGGCACAAATGGCACAACATAAGGAGGGAAAGAGAGGAAAGTCTGTTGAGTCCAGCAAGAAGGGTCAGATGGAAGCTCATAGGAGTGTCAGCGTTGTAGTTCTACAGCCTTCTCACTGTGTGATTAGTACAGTGTTACTCATAAGCAGGGACTCCTACTGGAAACTGAGTAAAAGGAGTGGCCTCAGTTTAATCTATCAAGGCAGATAGTGGGACCCTCCTGCTTTCTAAACTATCTCTCTCTTTTTTTCTATGTTAGGGTAACTTGGAGGTGGCTTGAAGGGGAGGGAATAGACAGGCAAGCTGAGGGGCAGTTGGTGAGTTCAAGGCTATCAGCACTTGGAAGTCATCAAGCCTGCTGTGTACATAGATTGACAATCACCCTTCTCGGGCCTGAGAATTGAGAACAGAGCAAAACTATTTCATCTCCGGAAGAAAACAGGTTGATGTGTTTACGGTATTACATGCAGCCCTCAAGTGGAGCACGGATGTTGGAACACTGCTTTTATTGCTGAGCTTCTGTACAGTTCGTGTGTCAGTTTGACCTTGTCTCACACTCTCGTTTGTGGATGTACACTTCTTGATGGCTTCTCAGCTTCCAAAAGTTTTCCAGACATGAGGTCTATGGTGTGTTTTAATGGTAATTTATTACTTATTATCCATCAAAGCGTATGCAGCTCCATTACACTGAAGTAAAAAAGTTGTGGTTATGTTTTTTAAAGAATGGGTCTCAGACTTTTCTCATTCTCCTTTATTCCAGATTTTAAAATTAATTTGTTTGTGAAGCTACAAACAGGAAAAATAAAAGGCAAAACCTATGATGTTTAAGGATTAAAACTTATATAAGCATCACATTAGTGACAAGTACACAATGCTTTTTTCTAAATTTTTTATCTTATGCATCATTTTTAAAATTACTAGATAAAATACATTTTCATATTTGTATTGATACTCAAGTTCAAGTAGAGATCTGAATGAATTGGTAGAAAGTAACTACAGAACACTTCAAAAAGAAGTAGTTGGACAAGCCATGTATTTAAATGTTAGAATTATTAGGTTCAAAGTATAGTATGCATTATTTTAATATTGTTTTGTTCCTGTTTCTGCATTTCCTGGTGTTTATAATATTGTAAAAGTAAGGTACTAAAACTTAAAAATTTTTACTTTAAAATGAAGTTGTTTTGATAATGTTTTCTCTCTTACTGCCTCTCAATTTTTACTCAAGACATTTAGATTTTCTTGTTTATTTGCTTTGGCTTTTGAAGGCATGAAATTATGGAAACATACCACAGTTGTCCAAGCATAAGTTCAACTTCACAATGTCTCCTGTTGTGAAGAGTAGTCACCAGCTTATATCACATGCTAATCACTTAAATATGGATCTTATGTCCTCTACTTAAGAGAAATAATATCAAGTTTTAGAAGCTTAATATGGAAAGGATAAAAATCTTTCAATAATCTAAACCCAACCCAAACCAGAAATATACCTTACTCTAAAATATTTAAATTGTCTTGCTATATTATGCTTATAAAATTTCAATTTTGACATAAGGTAACTATGTTTGTTGTATCTAATGTGTTCAGAAAACTATCCATTACTACTTTTATATATAATAAATTCAAAGCAAGATGAATACACATTATGTTCTTTGTTGCTTACAGTATTCAGCTTCATTTATTGACAAATATTGGTGGTTTCATTATTTTTAAGCTAAAATAGATACCAAATAATTATCTGTGGACATTTTGCCAATGAATTAGACAGTATGTGACAAATATGTGACAGACATAAGACAAGGACGTTGCCTTTGCAATATTTCAATGCAAGAGGACTTTGTCATTTCTCTTTCTCTATTGGTGTATTTCAGGTGATGGTGAAGGGATCCAGGAGCTGGTAGAGTCAGATGGGGACAGCCACTCGGACAAACCAGGGCAGCCTGGAGTAGAAACAGACGACTGGGATGGACCAGGTAGGACAGAGTAGAGCGTTCAATCTGCTTTCACTTCTGTCAGATTTCACATTTTTTTCCTTTAAAATTTACATATACAACTCAGATTTAAAAACTATACATGGGTGTTCTGTGTATGTGTGTGCACGCATGCGTGTGTGTGTGTGTGTGTGTGTGTGTGTGTGTGTGTGTACTGGTTGTATGGGAGTTTGAGTAAACAGTATTTAAATAAGAAAACTTTAAAAACTAATTCGTCACCTCGGCTTGAAGTCTCTCTCTTTTCTTTTTTATTCTTACATAAAGATAGTCAATTCTATTTACTTGTTCTTTCAACACTGAATCTTTTAGCTACATCCAAATTCAAATCGGGCTCAGTTTGAAAGCTTACAAATCAGTCAGTAACAATAAAACTTCAAAGAACCATCATTTCAGTTTAGTTCCGTTGTCAGTCACAGATGCAGCCTCAACATCTATTTATTTAGACATTGAATTGCAATTAATAGATTTTCCCTTTTGATTCAATGTTCTGGCAACATTTTCACCTTGGGAATAAAATTAAAATTTCACTTAAAGGGCCTCATATTTTTTTTCATTTCAGGGAAAATAAAAGGCTAATCAAAACCCAATATTAATAAAAAGACATACAAATATAAACTGTTTATAATAACACTGTAAAAATAACCTTGTTGTTTACTGCTAAGAAACTAACAATTTATGTTATCCTTATGAATGGAGGCCATCATGTTTTCGGTTTTTAGGATATAAGCAAGTTTTGAAATAGTTTTAGCCTTAATTTCCAAAGCAGTAACATTTTTCATTAAGAAAGATCGCTATATTTCAATCACATTTTCACCCTTGCATGACTTTGCAAATTGCTCTTTGCTGTGCATGGGGAAGAGAGGAAATCCAGTAGTAATTTTCTGAAACCAGCAGCTGGAAAATATAATGCAAACAAAAATGAAGATACAGTATATCTGATTATTATGATGTCATTTCTAATGTTATTCATGATACATACAAATGTTTGTATTCTGCACAGTATAGCATAATGCTATACAAGAGTCTGGACTCAATTGTATTATATGCTTAAATGCCGTAGAACCACATTTTAAGAGACATAAGAAAACAAAAACTTCTGGGATTTGTATTTTATTGCATTTTTTCTGATTTCTCAATGTGCAGAAAATTCCTTAATTTGAACAATTTGAAAATAGTATTTCTTAATCTTATTTTTGCTATGAGGCTTTTGTACAACTTGAAAAGAATGCATAATCTTTTATCTTATAGTTCTTTATTAATAGAATTAAATATTTGTGTCTAGAAGATGTTTCGCGTCTCCAGTTAGACTGGATGGGCTTTTAGGTGTTTCTCTTTGAAAATGGTACATTCGGTCACACTTTTGTTTAGAGAAAATTTGTATGTTTTGATTTTCCTGTCTGTATCTAGGGCTCATGGTCTTCCAGGTCATGTGAGAACAAGAAAAGAACATGGCATCCTAAGCTGCTGAGCATGGGGCATGCACAGCATCGCTGATGCCATCCTTGGGATGCTTTGGCCAAAAGAATGTATCATTGGCAAAATAATATTAATATTAATAACTGGAGATGTTGAGTAAAGAATGATTCTTGTCTTTCAAGTAAGTTATTCAATGTATGCTTAAATTAACTGACATATTTTATTGAATATATGTTTTTTTCTACTTTGTGGATTTGACATAAAAATTACTGTGTTCTTGACTTGTGTCAAAACTTTAAAGAAAAAGATAGGTCTCTTGTATGCTTAAAAGACACATCCCATATATTAAAAGATGAATAACCCACTTTTCTCCCAGTTACTTCTGGTAGGAGAAAGGTATATCACTTTGAAACCCCTTAAAGCAATGAAGTTAACTCATAACAACAGAATCTTTTTTTTTTTTCTGGTAGCATGTTCACTAATTTCAATCAATCGGGAGAATATATGGAAGAAAAGAGGACACTTTTATACCTTTTTGCTAATTAAATATCAGTTGCTTTAAGATTGGTAAAGATTATGTTTTGTTTATCAAATTGCATTAGCACTTTATGCCTATATCAAAGAGAAAAATTTGGCTTTTGGTGACTCAGCAGCAAAGTGCATCTGGATTCCAAAAGAAGCTCAAGGTCCAAGGTTAGGATTTTCTTCCTTTCTTTTCTTTTCTTTTCTTTTCTTTTCTTTTCTTTTCTTTTCTTTTCTTTTCTTTTCTTTTCTTTTCTCTTTTCTTTTCTTTTCTTTTCCTTCCTTCCTCCCTCCCTCCCTCCCTCCCTCCCTCCCTCCCTCCCTCCCTCCCTTTCTTTCTTTCTTTCTTTCTTTCTTTCTTTCTTTCTTTCTTTCTTTCTTTCTTTCTTTCTTTTCTTACTTGTCGTTCACTCTGTAAGTGGGCTGTTAGGTCACAAAAAGTGTTTTACTGCCCTATAGAGTATCTAAGACCCTGAAGGGTAAAATTAAGTGGTACTAAACATTAGTTTTCAGTTTATCACAAATCATTCTTTGAGACATTTGGTACCGAGCCAGCTTGATTTCAAGGTCTCCTATGATTTCAAGCCCTTACCTCCCAATGTGCTGACACTCATTCTAAAAATGACATTTTTCTCTAAAACTATAACAGAATCAAATGATGTATAATTTATCTAAGGAATTTGAAACATATTACTGACATCATTTAAGATGGATCAGGGTTTATCTTATTTTTAAGAAGTTTGATTGAATACAACCACATAACTTCCATGGATGTCCTAGTTCCATAATGAATTAACTGTGTCTCAGAGATTCTATTCATCAGATGTAAATTCTTCAATAGAAGAAAATGATCCTTTGTTTGTCATTAAGTGAAAAGGTACATTTGGAAGTCATAAGTATTCACACCTCTGTTAACTTCGAACTGGAGCCTAAACAATCAAAGGAAATCATGTTTGTATGGAGGGAGGCTGTGGAATTCTTCAGTGTTTAAAGGTTTGCAACTCTTATGTAAACAACATGAATCATTTAAGTTTGGAAAGCTACAAGCACACTCTTAGTGAGGCCAAAATAAAGTCCTTACCTCATCATTTCGGCATTTCATATATCTAATTTTCAAGTTCATTGTTTTCCATGCGTTTAAAGAGGTTATCCTGACACCTGTGCTGGAGTGTGCCGTGCAGTGCTTGCTACTCACTTTCTTCCAGTGTACGCCTGCATTGTTCCTGCCGTGTTTGTTCTCTTCCCAAGTGTCTCTTCTCCATCAGCCTCACGAGTTGTGCATTTTGTCTGGACCACTGGTTGTTCATTCTACATTCTTACACATTCAATTACACATTTAATCCTTCAGGGATGTTTATCGTGCGTTGATGGTGAGGGAGCCCAGCAGGCAATGTAAGGATGCTGTGTGACTGTATGCTCTTCTCCCAGGACCACTTCTCTCCTTTAATTGATCAGGGGCTTGTCACTCAAGCAATAATTAAGCTTCCTTTATTCTTCAAAGTAGAACATAGTCTATAACACGGTACTAAGTGTTTACACAATTTAGAGTCAGACAGACCTAGGATAACAGTGGTATCTATGGCTCATGATGTTGGCTTGTAAAACAGACAGTCCTCAGTTTCCTTCTCTGAAATTGGTAAAGTGATAACTGTTTAGCAAAGTTATTTAGGAAGATGAACTTTGAAAGATACCACTCTCACAGGACAATCAACTCCATGCTTGGGATAGTTCAGTGCTGGCAGTCTCCTACCTGCAGGCAGCACCTTGAGAAATACTTTAAACTTGCTCCTCTCGGAACAGCCAATGCTTGGGATATTGATCTTAACTTGGAAATACTGCTTATTTCTCACTTTTTCACAAGAAAGTCCAGAGCTACTTTCCAAGGCCACTCTGGAGTACTGGCTTAAGTATTTGGATTTAGGAACTTTGTAGCAAGGTTCAATGAAATACTTTAAAATCCATTGTCATCTCTATGACAGAATTACTGTGTCACCTACATTTTACTTGGAATGTTTGAATTCTAAATTACATTCTTACAACTTGGCTTCTTTTGACACTTCCAAATAGTGACTAATTGGTTTCTCTGCCATAGTGTTGAGTGAATATTATTATAATGTGTATATAAAGGCAAGTTTTCGAATAATGTGTATCCATGTACACATATACAAGTAAAAAAATTGAGGAGGTTTTATTTGCCTTTTTGACACAACTTTTATTTAAATAGATATTGATATTTATGTATTAAAACTATGGTCATACAAATGAAACTAAGTAAGAAATCAATCTTGAATTGACAATATAATAAACTAAAAATTTTTGGTAATAACTTTTAAAATTATATTATAAAACATCTGAACTTTCTGTTGTCAATCTCAGCTAAGTTATTTGGGGGTAATGTCATGAACTGTGTAACAAAGCCACTTTAGGTGTGGATTTCTTGGGTGGCCTTGCTACAGCTAATCATGTGACTCAGAGCAAGATAATACTGTGCCACAGACTTAATGCTTATAAATCAGGCCAGTAATAATAACTACCTCATTAATGAGATTTTACATGTAAAGCATGGAGCTCAGTGTTTCAGAAGCACACAAAAAGTCACTCTTAATATTGATTTTACTATCATCTTGGCAATTGTGTCTCAGTAGCTGTTACAATGCTTTCCATAGAAGGCTCCATTAAACATTAGTACCCTGAATTAATTCTGCAAAATGATCTTTCTCTGCAACAAAACATCCTAAGATTATGTTTACTCTGCTCTACTCCAGTCTCCCTGACTTGAAACAATTCAGATGAAAATTTTTAGTGTAAATACATTTTTTGAGAATAATTGCATTGGATAAAGTCAAATGTATGTACTTGTTGCTTAGTCTAAATATTGTTTAGAAAATTCTTAATAAGTTACTTCTTATGTAGTTGTTCAGTACTTTGGATGTATCAAGCTGATTAGGCTCTTTCTGCTTTGTGTCTGAAATGAACCTGGCAAGAAGGGCGCTGTTTTGCATAAAGTGGACTGGTCGCTGTAAGACCACTGGGAGATAGAAGCA